CCAGCCCCACTCCCAGGACGGGCCTGCTGGGTGGCTGCCGACAGCCCAGGATCCTCCAGGATTCTCCCTCTGGCGGTCGGAGCTCCTGTCTCCCGTGTGAGTTCTGGAGGCCGGGGGTCCCCCTAGGGCCCCGCCCATGCTGAAGAGTCCACCTTCCACATGCATGGTGCCGACTCCGGAGGCCTCAGAGACCCTCAGCCAGCCTTCTGGAGCTCTGTGTCTGTGCAGTTCCCCCCGTTCCGTTCCCGAGCTCTGCCTTCCAGGTCCCTCTGTGGACGCTTTCCTGAGCCCTGACCTCCTTCTCCTCAGCCCCCGAGGACCGCCCGACCTGCTTGGACGGCTGCCCCTGCTCGGCCGTCCTCAGTGGGCCTCCACCCCAGGGCTGGGGAACCCTCCTGGCGCTCGAGCCCGCCTGCCCCTCCTGCTGGGGATCCGGCCCCATGGTGCCCTGGTGCTGACAACAGTCCATCCTGAGTTTCAGTCTCAAGCTTCCGCGGCAGAAGGGAGACTGCCAGCTGTGTTACTCCACGGCAGGTGGGCCCGACGGGACCAGCTCCCTTCAGAGCGGCACTTTGGTTGGTTCCAGAATTCTCCTTTGCTATGAAGGCTTCCAGGCACATCCCACACCGGCCACCCTCCACCTCGCATGTGTGTTTATCCATGAAACGCCGCAATGGGACCTCCTAGATCAAATAGTGTAATGATGTAAACACTGAGTATTGACCTGGAACTTGCCTCTGAAAGGGCCGTGCGCTCCCGCCTGGGATCCTGCTGCTCCTGTGCCGGTCGCCCCGCACACGCCCCGCTGCCTCTCTGGGCCACCTCAGCCTTTTCAGGTTCCTGTGTGTGCACTGAGATGTCCACCCTGGCACGCTTCTTCCCCTCAGCAGGTGGTCCCCACACTGTGCCTGCCCAGCTCAGAGCCCAGAGGCCCCCGCAGCTCCCCACAACTTCATGGTGCAGTGACCTGAGGCCTCCCCTGGCTCAGTCCCTTTCCCAGGGTCAGGGGTCCATCTATTGAACCAGGACAGGAGGCACCTTCCCCCGAGCTCTGTGCCTGAGCTGAACCTGGACGGCAGTGCCCAGTGGCGGCTCAGACCCCCAGAGCCTCTTCTGAGGTCCGACACTCCTTTGCTTCCCCAGGGAGGCCCCGCTGGCCTGGACCCCAGCTCTCCGTGCCTCGGTTTCCTCACCTGGAAGGTGGGGATGTTGAAGGTGCCTGGGTTGTGGCTGTGCACTAACCTAGGGTGACTGTGAGCTTCGAGAGCTCGAATGTCTGGAAGGAAGGGTGCCAGCTGGGTGGGTGTGAGTGTCCTGATCATGGACACAGAGCGTGGGGCCCCTTGGAGGGCTGGAACCCAGGTGGGGATGCCCGGGTGGTGGGACACAGCGGGGCTAGAGGAGAGGGTCTGAGGAATGTTCTGGCCACAGAGACCCCAAGCCCATGGGAGGTTGGGAGTTGGTCACTAGGAAGGAGAGGTGGGGAACAGAGCTGGGGCCCAGGGTCCTGATATGGGGTGAGAGGAGACGCCGTCCCTGAGGCAGAATGGTGGCCAGGGGAGGGGAGGAGGTGGGGGAAGCAGACAGAGGGGAGGCGGGGGGAGCCCAGAGCCAGGAGTGTCAGGGGCGGGTACCTGAGCCAGAGGCACCCTGAGGTTTCCCAGCAGGCAACTGATACCCTGGCCTGCAGCGTGGAGGAAGCAGGGCTGGACTGGAGGCCTGGGGACGCCTGGGGCTGCCCCAATTCCCAGCAGACGCCTCACCCTCTGGGAAGCCCCAGCTGCCCCAGATCTCTCCCACAATGCTCTGACCGCCCCCAGCCCCCAAGTCCTCTCCCTTCTGTCCCCAGGCCCGAGGCGTTGGAGCTGCCCCTGCCTTAGGCCATGAGAGCTGGACACAGAGTCCTCCAGGTTCCAAGGGCCTCCTGCACCAGCACCTGCTCCACCCTCCTGCCCTCCCCGGCGGCCCCCCCTGTGAGGGCTGCCCACCTGCCTGACCCCAGAGTCTCCTCCTCACGCTTCTATCTGCTCTGCACACCGTCCAACCAGCCTGACAGCTGCCCAAAGCCTCCAGAGCACAGAACGGGCCTGGTGTCTGTACCTCCCTCTCGGGGTGGGCCACGGCCTGCTCTGTGTCCCGTCCCCTCCCCACTCATCAGCGGTGGACCCCAGCTTCCCTCTGCAGCAGCGCTCAACTCCGGCACCTTCTCAGGGAAGCGCAGCCCACCTCGCCCCCTGCAGGCCCCTCTTCATCTGTTAGAGCCCCCCGTGGCCTGGACAGTCCATCATGAGTGTCTGCACCACACGACTGTAGATGTTTGGCTTCTGGACTCAAATCCTTCACCGGACCATAACCAGGAGGGCAATGACCAGGCGTCGGCCTCAGCCCCCTGCCTGGCCTGCACTGGTACCGCACTGGGTCTGGGGAGTCCCTGGGACAGCAGGCACGGGGCTGGGGGGCTCACCTGCCTCCCTCTCCCTGCTGGTTCTGGTGGGCCTGGGGAATGGGGGCGGTGATATCCTGCAGGCAACTGTGTGGGTGGGGATGGCTGCGGGCTGGGGAGGGCCCCGTCTCCCGCCTCCCTGGGCTGCCTCATTTCCTCCCTGATGCCCTGATGACCCTGGTGTCCTGGACAGGGCCTGGAGGTGCTGGTGCCGGGAGAGCCCGCGCTGGATGGATGAAGGAGTGAGTGCTGTACTTAGCGGGGGCGCTGAGCGCTGGGTCGGGAGCCCAGGACCTTTCCTTCTGCTGCCCGGAGGCAACACCCTGGACCCCTGGAGTCTGCATTCCAGGAGAGGGGGCAGACCACAGAGAAGGGAGAAAACGGGCGGAGGGCCGAGGCGGGCAGACACATGGAGCAGGGACTGGGGACAGGGCTTATTTAGCAATCAGAGAAGGCCTCAAGGAAGAGGTGACGTTTCAGCAAAGACCTGGCACTGTCTCCACTCTCGGTGGGGCAGATGGGCTCCCTTCAGCCCCCTTGAGGCCTGGTACCTAGGACCCTATGTCAGGACCGGGCCTTGGCGTGGGAAACTGAACTGGGGTAGGAGGGGAATGGAGGAAGGGGCAGGAGGGGCCGAGTCTCACTGATGCCTGTGTTAGCCTTGTCTCTTGCCATGCCTCAGTTTCCCTCCTTCCCAGGGTGGGGTGGATGAGATGACTTGAGGACGTGTCTGAGAGAGTGGGGTTGGAGGCCTGTACCAGCAGGCGTAGGCGCTGTGTCTGCTCTTGGAGGCTGGGCGTTCCTGGGGAGTTGGGGAGGGAACGTGCTGTCCCTGCACCCTGGAGCCCCTATGCCCTCCTGGGGCACCTGGGAGTGGAGGATGAAAGGGGCCCCCTTCTTCTTTGAAAGCCCCATGCAGCTCTGTGGGCTGGGGAGGCTCTGTATGTGGGGGGCATTCCTGGCAGGGGGCACTGAGGGCCAAGGATGTGAGTGCACCAGGGAAACAGCAGAGAGGGCTCCTCTCCCAGGCTCCAGCCGTGGGGTGGGAGTCCACGCTCCTGGGTGTCTCTTGGGGGCTTTTCCTCCACTGGGCGCCACCTGGTCCCCCACCCTGCCTCAGAGTGCTGGAGTCTGGGGCCTGGGCTCATCCACCCCGGACGGTGGTCGGCAGCGCACCTGCCTCTGGAGCTCGGGATGCTTGGTCCCACAGGGGCGCACACCACAGCCTGCCTAACCTCACCCCTGCCTGCTCGCTCTCCAGTGCTGGCCTGCGGGGCCGCACACTTTCTAGTCGGGGTGCGGGTCCCGGGCTCCTGCCACAGCTTCCTGTGTCCAGCCACCCTGCCAACTCTTCTGCAGGTCAGGGTGGGCACGATCCCCAAGGTCCTTTCCACCAGATGCCACTGAGTCCCCCAGGGGCCAGGGCTGGACCCTGGAGGGAGTCCCCGGCAGACGTCAGTACCAGGAGGGGCTTGGGGCAGTCCTGGGCCAGGCGTCCAGCAGATGGGCTTGCTGGAGGTGGGAGTTCCTGGTGTAGAGCCGGAGCTCCCAGAGGGGGTGACCGGGACCTGCTCTGGGCAAGCACAGGCGGTGCGTGACAGACCTGGGCTTCCATTGGCTGCACCACGTCCAGCAGCAGGAAGGGGCCACGGGGCACTAGTGTCGTCACACAAGGTTCCATGTGATGCAGGGAGTGAGGCCATCACGAGGGACTCACTGGTGCCTGTCTTGGGGCTCTGGGGCTGTGGGCCGCCTCCGTGCAGTGGTCTCCCCACCGCCAGGCTCTGCAGGGCAGGGAAGCCCAGTGGGGCACAGGGAGCCAGGAGGCTGGGGTGCAGGGTCCACAGGGAGGTGAGGCCAGCAGCCTTCCCAGCCCGAGGAGCGTCTCTGCAGGGGGAGTAAGAGCTGCGCTTCCACCCTCCCAGGGGACGGGCGGGGGCACTCTGGGCTTTTCCCATCCCTCACACAGGGACACAGCCCTGGTGGGCCTGTGACTGAAACCGGCCAGACCGCATTCTGGCGGTTTGATTCAGAAGGGAAGTTTACCCCGTTCAGCAGAAGTTCAGATGGGAACAGGAAACCCACAGGGCCCCTTTATTCGGCAAAAATGTCAATCAGCGCCATGGGGAGCAGCCAGGGGTCCCTGAGTGTGTGAGTGAGGTGGGGAAACACAGATGCACTTTGGGGGGCTCCCCCTTCTACAGGAAACCCAGGGCCGACTGGAAAGGTGCCGGGGGAGAACTGGCCCCTCCCATCAGGCACCTCCTTCACACTGGCCCTTCCCCTCGGCTTTGCCTGGACAGCTCCTGCCTCCCGCAGGGCCCACCTGTGTCCCCCAGCGCTGCTCCGCCCAGCAGGCCTGAGCCCCTTTCTGCTCCCAGACACCCACCGCTGCCCACTCTCCTGCCACTGGGGTTCTGAGGCACAGCTTGTCACACCGAGGCGGTTTCTCTTTTGCTTTCTCTTTTAGCTGAAGTTCGCAGCAATGGCGCTGAGTTCCTCTGCTGGAGTTCGTCTTGCTAGCTGGGTTCCTGGGCTGCCAGTCTGAGCCTGAGGCATGGAGCCTCCTGGAGGTTGGGGGTCTCCTCCCCGGAGACCCGCCCCCAAAGCCGACTTCTTGACGCTGGTGAGCCTCGCAGATCCCACTTCTGACCCCAGGGCCTCCCAGAGATCTCTTCCCCATGCCCCTGTCCTGGCCGTTGCTGGGTCCTGCGTCCAGCCTGTCCCTGGCTGCCCGGAGATCTCGGGCCAACCCAGACCCCCAGCACTGGGCTTACCACAGTGAGGTGAGCGGCAGAGCAACAGCCCTACGCAGCAGACCTCTTTCTGTGTGTGCTGCCCGCTCACCACTCCATCCACGGGCAGCTGGTGGGCCCCCATTGGCAGGATGTGGGCACTTCTGGGGGCTGGGTGTCTCTGGGCGTCTCTGGGCGGGGCCCTGGAGCAGGTGACCCAACTCTCCGGCAGCCCTGACCTTGGTGACAGGTGATAAGATCAGTGTGCAGCAGGGGGCTGGACAGGGGTGGGGACACCCTCCGTGCTCATGTGACCCTCCTGTCTGTCCGGCCCCTTTCCCCATCAGGGGCTCCCGACTGCCCATGAGCCAGCCCAGGAACGAGGCCACAGCAGAGCCACCCTCCCTGATGTGACCCACTGTCTGGCTTGTGAGCCCCTGGGGCCCATCCCCGGCTGCCCCTGCTGGCTCTTCGGGGTCAGCAGATCCAGCCCCGGCCAGCAGGGGGCCGACGGGTTGTCTGCCTGGTGGGGAGACAGGTGTGGGGTGGGGAGTCCCTGGCGAGGGCAGAGTGCCAGTTCCCAGGGCTCCATGCTGCAAGGCAGGGTCATCACGGCTGGAGGAAGGGCGGTCCCCACCCGGTCCCAGGCTCCACAGGTTGGCAAGGTTGTCCCATGAGCCTGGCCCGGGGCCCGCTTCTCTCCTCTCCACCAGGCACTGCCGCTCCTCCCCACTACACAGAGGGGAGACTCAGGCTGTGACACCAAGTCTGGCAGAGCCCACGGGGCAGCCAGGACATCTCCCAACGCCTGTCCTGACCCCCTTAGGTGCTGTATCTCACCTTCCTGGGATCCCCCTGCTACGCCCCAGCTCTGCCCTCCTGCAAAGAGGACGAGTACCCAGTGGGCTCTGAGTGCTGTCCCAAGTGCGGTCCAGGTATGTGCGGCCCTTTGGCGGCCAGCTCCGTGGGCCGAGGGCAGACACTCTTGCCCTGTCCTGCCCCAGACACCCCTGTGTTCTCTGCTCCCTGGCCCTGGGTGTGGGCCCAGGTGCACAGACATGGAGGGCAGGAGCCCCAGGCCAGCAGCTTGGACTCTTCACCCTGGGGGACCCTCACAGTCACACTGCACGGGAAATGGTCTGAGAGACGTGGCTGACCCACCGTGACCAGAGACACAGGCTCATACCAGAGCCGGGCCAGGTGTCCCAGGAGGCCCCATGTGCTTCCAGAACTTTCTGATTTTCCCCAGAGCGGCTCCACTCGTGGCTGATGGGCTGCTGTGTCCCTCGGGGAACAGCTCATGGGCCATTTGAGTCCCCTTAGCTGGTGTCTCCCTGCTCAGGCTCCGGGCACAGGCGGAGTGGTGGATGGGCTCCCGAAGGGGCCTCCTGCAGACACGCGAAGTTCCCACTCTCTGTGTGGCAGGTTTCCACGTGAGGCAGGCCTGTGGGGAGCAGACGGGCACGGTGTGTGAACCCTGCTCTCCGGGGACCTACATTGCTCACTTCAATGGCCTGAGCAAGTGTCTGCAGTGCCAAATGTGTGACCCAGGTAGGAGGCCAATACAGCCGGCCCAGCCTCCGCTCGGGCACCCCACACCCTCTCTCCATGACCACAGTGCCCCAGGAGGGCCCTGGCTGCCCCAGGCCAGGTCCCGACCCCATCTCCATGAGTGCATCCTGCAGGGGACGCCTTCAGGCCAGCCTCCGGCCCCCGTCTACCTCTGTCTCACCTCTCACTTTGTCACGGGGCCATCAGGTGGGCCATCCTGAGCTTGGCGACTGACCATTAGCCCTCGTCCTTGGCTCCTCTGGTGCCCTGGGTGGGTGCCCAGACCTCTCCTGTTCCCACGTCTCTAGCTGCAAAGTGGAGTGGGGTGGTGCTGGGGCTCTCCGGCCGGCACTGGGACCTGCTGCTTCCCCACAGGGCTTCTTGTCCCTTTCTCCTCCAGATATTGGTTTCCCCATGACCTCAGGGGAAGGGGTCACCTGGAGGCTGGTGCCCACCTGAGTCCAGGCAGACAGAAAGGGGAGCCAGACCCAGAGGCCTGCTTTTGAGTCACTGACCGCAGAGCCTGTCCATGCGGCCAGTGGCTTTGTCCTCTTGGAGCCTCATGCCAGGCTCAGCATGGCAAGTGCTCCCTGGGGCCAGGCAGTACGGCATCTGCAGGACAGGGCTGATGGCACACCTGGGGGCAGGGCCTGAGCCTACAGGGAGGCACGAGGCAGGTGGGCTAGCCATGAACAGAAGAGGAAGCTGGAGTGCTTTGGGGGTTCATGCATGCAGGCTGGGATTTGGGGCTCACACCTCAACCTGCGTGCCCCCTTCCATGCCCCTCCCCTCTTGTGAAAGCACCTGTCTGCCTGGGCTGAGGATGTGGGGGCACAGGTGGCAGGTGAGGCTGCCCTCAGGAGGGGCTCAGGCCCAGCTGGTACCTCCCCTCCACCAGTACCTGAAGAAGTGGGGCTCTCACCCTACCTGCCTCTGCCATTGGAATGGCCTGGTTTGCACAGATGGGAAGCCCATCTGAGGGGCAGGTGTCTGGGGTGGGCACGTGGGGTGAGGACCTGTCTGAGTTACCCTGTTCTGGAACTGACAGTGCGAGCTTGGCATCCTGCCCATCTGGCAGAAGGCTAGTTTCTCCAGGAGGCCTGGCTCCCGTTAACAAGGCCCTCCCAGGACCCGCCTTCAGGCCCTCATCCCACACACAACTCTGCCGTCCCTGGGTGTCCCTCAGGTCTTCCATGCCAGGCACCTCCGGGCACCTCGTTTGGCTGAGCCAGGGGTTCAGCCTGGCCGGGGGCCCTGGCAGCAGTCCTTGGCCTGTGGATGCTGTTCTGGCCTGTGGGTGGTGTCCTGGCCTCCACGTATCCCTCTCAGCCCCTCCTCTTGGACCCCAGCCATGGGCCTGCGCACAAGCCGGAACTGCTCCACGACAGCGAACGCCCTGTGTGGCTGCAGCCCAGGCCACTTCTGCATCATCCAGGACGGGGACCACTGCGCCGCGTGCCGCGCTTACGCCACCTCCAGCCCGGGCCAGAGGGTACAGAAGGGAGGTAAGTAGTGGGTGGCGGACATCCCTCCCATTTCCACCCTGGTCCCTAGTGCCCCGCTATCTGGAGCCCCAGGTCTCCTTGACGTCATGGCCTGCCCAGGGGCCCTGGTGAGACAGAACCTTGGCCAGCACCAGGCCCACCCACTTTAGTCCTATCCTGGAAGCAGCCTAGTGGGGAACAGGCAATGGAGGTGGGGGAGGGGGCAGGGAAAGGCCACCCCAGGTGGCTCCACCTCGGGGTTCTGGGACTCCCCAGTCCCCAGGCCTCACTCTCGGGTCCCAGGCATGGTGCCTGGGTTTATGGGAATGACCACGGTCAATGCCACTGTTCAAGCTAAGTCTAGGAGGAGTAACTGTCCAGCCCTGGCCTGGCACCTGGCCGGGCAGCCCCCACAACACTGCAGGATGTGGACACAGAGGGACTCCTGGACTCATGAAATTCCAACTACTCAAGGTCCAGGACAGCCAGAGCCACCGCCCCAGGCCTCACCTCTGATACTGCCAACAGCGGGCCTGGCCCTCCCGGCCAGGCCTCCCATCACCCGCAGAGCACCCAGGTCTAGAAGCTCACAGACAAACAGTCCCTAGCCACCAGCCCCTCCCCGCCTGGTGCCCTCAGCGTCCTCTGCCTGTTACTCTCTTCTCAGGCACTGAGAGTCAGGACACCCTGTGTCAGAACTGCCCCCCGGGGACCTTCTCTTCCAATGGGACCCTGGAGGAATGCCAGCACGGGACCAAGTAAGTGGCCCCGGGGGAGGCCCAGCGCTGTGCCCTGGGGAGGGGGCTCCACGTTGCTTCCCTGGGAGATGACCGTCTTCTCCAGCAGAAAGGCCTGAAGGTCTCACCCAGGATGGCACCCTGGTTACATGCCTGTGTCCAGGAGAGCTGCATGGCTGAAGCCTGTGTGCCCCAGATAACCCCTTCCATGGGCCCAGACAAAGCCTTATCAGATCCGAGCTTCCTGGAGGCTCAGGATGGGCCTTCCCAGAAGCAGGCCCAGAGGCAGGCTGCCTCCAGAGCCCCTGTTCCCTGACACTCCTGGGTCACTGACCCAGGGTGTCCCTGAATGTCAGGGCCATGGGAGGAGCCCCTGGGCTTCAGGGGAGGGGGAAAGTGAGCACTCTACTCTTCGTCTGCCTACGGGAGGACACCTTTAAATGCTGACCCCGGGCCCCTGGTTGACCTGAGACTTCAGAGCTTCTTGGGAGGAGCTGGGGTCCTCCAGTGGAGCCTGGGATGGAGCAGGGGTGGCCCCCAGGGAGGCGGCGGTGGGGCCTTCCATCCTACTCTGCCCTCCTTGTCCTCTGGTCCTGTCCATCTCCAGCTCTAACCGTTTCTGTCCCGACACTGGCTCTCCCTCCACTTTCTGTCCTTGTCTGCCACTGGTCTCCCCTTCTCTGGGGGTCTCTGCACTGCTGGCTGCCTCCCGCTTCTCTCCCCCTCCCTCTGCCGTCCTGTCTTCTTTGCCCAATCTCTCCTTGTTTCTTTTCTCCTCCTTCCTTCTCTCCACCTCCCCATAGCTGGGCTTGGAAAAGTCAGACAGACCTCTGAGGTCTCATCCTGAGGAGCTGCCACCAGCACAGCCTCCCTGGGACCTGTCTTCACTGCCTGGGGACCTGTGAGCCGGGGACGCTCCCTGGGACTGAGTGAACACCGGGTGCTGCACCTGCCGCTCCCACATCCTCGGCCCCACTCCCGCAGGTGCAGCAAATGGCTGGTGACGGAGGCCGGACCTGGGACCAGCAGCTTCCGCTGGGTGTGGTGGTTTCTCTCAGGGACCCTCATCGTCATTGTCATTGTTGGCCTAATACTTGGCCTAATATATGTGAAAAGAAGAAAGTCAAGGGGTGAGCACACGGCAGCCCCATCAGGGCTCATGTCCCCGGTCGTTGCATCTCGGAGCTCTGTCCCCCCAAACCTGGGAGGTGGCCCCAGAGCTTTTCCAGGATCCACGGCTCCTCCCAGGAGGGGGAGCTGCAGGCTGGGGCAGGTGGGCTTCCTGCTGTGGCTGGAGCCCAGGAGTCAGGTGGCCTCCTTGGGGGAAGGGAAGGTGGGACCCCTGACCAGGGAGCCCTCTGCCACCCCTGCCCACGCACTCCATGACCCCATGCTCCTGCCTGCCCCCCCCAGGGCTGTGGGGAGCAGGGCAGGCTCTGCTCAGCTGGGAGAGGCTCTGGGTTGAGGGTCAACAGCCGTCCTGCTGGGGACAAGGCTATGTCCTCACTGAGTAAGGCCATTCATTCATTCATTCCTCCACCTACCCGCCCTGGTCTGGGCACCTGTGCTGTGCCTGGCCTCCTGGGCACTGACCCAGCATTGTGGACCTGGCTGTGGCCCTGGGAGCCCTGTGCACAGTCCCTGGGAATGCAGCTTCTAAGCATTGAGGTCCGAAGGGAAAGTCAGCCCCATCCTCCGGCCAGGCGGCAGCAAAGCCCCCAATCCTCACCCGGGGCCTCCAATGCAGGGAGGTCTCAGGGCCTCAGGCTCCGGGGCAGGCGGGGGAGCAGCTTAGTTTCAGCCAGCTGGGCACCTGCTGGTGTGGTGGGCAGGGCCTTGCCACTGTGAAGCACTTGTCCCCCTCCCACAGACGACGGTTGAATTAGGGTTAGTTATGCACTTGGGGGCGGCAGCTGGGGAGGTGGGCTGGGCACCCCCAGTCCTCTCACCCATGCTGGGCCTCCTGGGGGGACAGGCTGGGCTAGTAGTCCCAACACAGCTGGCCTCCTCCGCTCTCAGAGAGGGTCAGTCCCTTGGGGACGGTCTCCCAGGGAGAAGCAGGAGTTGGTGCTCCTGCCACCACCGTGAGACCCCAATTGCCATGAGCCTGTGTCCCCTGATCAGACACTGCCCCTGCCTGACCTGTGTGTCTGTGCATTGCAGGCGATGTAGTCAAGGTGATCGTCTCCGTCCAGGTATTGATCTCCTCCCCCTTCCCCTCCCCCTCCCCCCTCCCCGCTGAGTCTGGTGTTTCTGGTGTATATGGTGGGGGCTCCCAGTTCTCTGAGGGTCCTGAGTCCTTCAAGTACAGCCACGGTAGCTCAGGAGAGAACCCACCTCCTCAAATTGAAAACAGTAAAATGAACCGAGAACCTGGAGTCCCAGGGGCGCCTGAGCAGGCGGGGTCTCCACGCTTTGTGTGCCCGCAGCGGAAGAGACAGGAGGCAGAAGGTGAAGCCATAGTCACTGAGGCCCTGCAGGCCCCTCCGGACATCACCACAGTGGCCGTGGAAGAGACAGAACCTGCATTCACTGGGAGGAGCTGAAACCGCTGACCTACAGACTCTGTACCCCAACACCAGAGGTACCCGGAGCGACGGCTGCTGAAAGAGGCTGTCCACCTGGTGGAACCACAGGAGCCAGGAGGCCTGGGGGCTCCCCGCTGGGCTGGCTTCCATCTTCTCCAGTGGAGGGAGAGGTGGAGCCCCTGCTGGGGTGGGGCTGGAGACGCCCCGTGCCATTCCCATGGGCCAGCGAGGGCCTGGGGCCTCCCTTCTGCTGCAGCCTGAGCTCCCCAGAGCCTTGAGGAAGAGCGCCAGTTGCCTCGCGCTCAGGGACCACACCCCCAGCCCCCCTGGCCAGCCCAGAGGGCCCGCCAGACCCCAGCTGTCTGCCTGTCTGAATATTGCGGTCTTAGCAGGACAGGCCCCGGGCACTGCCTCACGGCCAAGGCTGGACTGGGTTGGCCACAATGTGGCATTGAATGTATATCACATTTAAAGTAATTTTCTACATTGGATTTGAATTTGGCTCCTGTTTTCTATTTGTTGTGAAACAGTATATTTGGGGAGATGCTGTGGGAAGATGTAAATATCTTGTTTCTCCTCAAACTGTTGCCTCCCAGTGTTTCTTGCTGAACAAGGAGTTCCAGGATGGCTGCTGGGCTGTTTGGGGGATGTCTGACCTCCTCCTGCACGCCGGGAGGTTCACTCCACCCTCACTCCACCCAGGGAGGAGCCCCACCCGCTCCTTCACATCCCAGCAGCTGAGCTCTCAGTGGGCTCTCCTGACCTCGCTGACTCTGTCCGAGGCTGTTGCTGTTCATTCTGATGCTCAAATGGTCTCAGATTTGCCCGACAGAAACCCCAGATCTATATCAGACCTACACTTCCTGACTGTGTTCATGGAGAAATCCCAGCATCACCCACTGTGCCCAGCTCCCCCCCAACCCACCCACACCGGGAACCCGCCAGGCCCAGGTCCTGCTGGCAGGGGTGTCCCCAGGCCTCTGAGCCACACATGCATTTTGTGCTTGGGATGTGGCCCCTTTTCCCACGTCTGGAGTTAGAAGCGGTGAGGGGAACGATTCCACTGCCATGCCATGAGGATGGAGGAGCCACACAGCCCTTCTGAGCACGCCCCCTCCACCCCGCCCTGCCCCCCCTCCACCCCGCCCTGCCCCCCCTCCGCCCCGCCCTGCCCCCCTCCACCCCGCCCTGCCCCCCCTCCACCCCGCCCTGCCCCCCTCCACCCCGCCCTGCCCCCTCTCCACCCCGCCCTGCCCCCCTCCACCCCGCCCTGCCCCCCCCTCCACCCCGCCCTGCCCCCCTCCACCCCGCCCTGCCCCCCTCCACCCCGCCCTGCACCCTCTCCACCCCGCCCTGCCCCCTCTCCCCCCGCCCTGCCCCCTCTCCACCCCGCCCTGCCCCCCTCCACCCCGCCCTGCCCCCTCTCCATTCCTGGTCATCTCCTGCCTCTAGCAGAGCCCCCAGGCTGAGCTGCCCACCCCACCTCCTCTCCTGTCACCCCTTGTCCTAGGGAAGCTCTGGCCCAGCGTCCTGGGGTGTGGAGAGGCCCATGCAGGCCAGCTGGAGCCCTGGGTCCCTAGAGAGTAGCTCTTCCGGCTGCCTCACCCCGTGTGACCCACTCCCTGACTGGAGGTGTGCTCTCCAGGGAACCGAGCCTCCCTGTGCACGGACCAGCTCCTGACCACCGTCCAGGGCCACTTCCAAGGCAGCTCTTCAGAGGCTGACCTCGTGGACCTGGCTGCCCCCCAGTGCTGGATGGGAGGCCAGGCCCCAGCTAAGCACAGTCTGTTCTTTTCCCCATAGGCCTGGGGGCAGGCAGGAGCACAGGGCCATGGAGTGAGTGGGCAGGGGCAGCAGAGGGCTCCCTGGTCAGGGGTCCCACCTTCCCCTCCCCCAGGGAGGCCACCTGACATCTGAGCTCTGGCCACAGCAGAAAGGCCACCTGCCCCAGCCTGCAGTTCCTCCTCTTGGGAGGAGCTGCAGATTGTGGAAAAGCTCTGGGGCCACCTCCCAGATTTGGGGGGACAGAGCTCTGAGAGATGACGGCTGGAGACATGAGTCCTGATGGGGCTGCTGTGTGCTCACCCCTTGGCTTTTTTCTTTTCATGCATATGATAAGGCCAAGTGTGGAGACAATGACGTTGACAATGAGGCTCCCTGAGAGAAACCACACCCAGCAGGAGTTGCTGGTCCCAGGTCCGGCCTCCGTCACCAGCCAGCTGCTGCACCTGCGGGAGTGGGGCAGAGGACGTGGGAGCGGCAGGTGCAGCCCCTGGTGCTCACTCAGCCCCAGGGAGTGTCCCCGGCTCCCAGGGCTCTGGGCGGTGAAGGCAGGTCCCGGGGAGGCTGGACTAGTGGCAGCTCCAGGATGAGACCTCGGAAGTCTGTTTGACTTTTCCAAGCCCGGCTATGGGGAGGTGGGGGGAAGGAAGGAGGAGGAGAGAGACGAGGAGGAGAGAGACAAGGAGAGACTGGGCAAAGAAGACAGGACGGCAGAGGGAGAGGGGAGAGAAGCGGGAGGCAGCCAGCAGTGCAGAGCCCTGAGAGTGATTTCACTAGCACCACTGTCCTGGGCCGGCTGGTGCCACATATTTGAAAACAGTTGTTTCATTTAAGCTTGTCCACTCAGTAGCTGTTGAATGTGGGAGGGTATCTTGGTCTATTCAGGTTGCTATAAGAATAAAAACTACCATAGACTGAGTGGCTTAAAAAGAACAGAAATGTGGCCGGGTGCCGTGACTCACACCTGTAATCCCAGCACTTTGGGAGGCTGAGGCAAGTGGATCATTTGAAGTCAGGAGTTTAAGACCAGCCTGGCCAACATGGTGAAACCCCATCTTACTAAAAATACAAAAACTAGCCGGGTGTGGTAGCGGGTGCCTATAATCCCAGCTACTCGGGAGGCTGAGGCAGGAGAACAGCTAGAACCCAACAGGCAGAGGTTGCAGTGAGCTGAGAACCCGCCACTGGGCAACAGAGCGAGACTCCATCTCAAAAACGAACAAACAAACAGGAGTTTATTTCTCACATTTCTGGAGGCGGGGGGTCCAAGATCAAGGTGCTGGCTGATTCGGGGTCTGGTGAGGGTCTCTTCCTGGTTCCTAGATGGCTCCTCGTTGTGTCTTGACACAGTGGTCAGGATGAGGGAGGCTTGTAGGGCCTCTCTTTTAAGGGCACTAACCCATTCCTGGGGGCTTCACCTTCACCAACCACCTAAACCCTCACCTCCTCCGTGAGGCCTTCTCCGATTGCTGATAAGCCCTGGCCCCACTCCCTGCCCCATGTGTTCACCGGCCTCAGCCCTCCGCCCCTTTTCCCCCTCTCTGTGGTCTGCCCGCTCTCCTGGAATGCAGACTCCAGGGGTCCAGGGTGTTGCCTCCCGGGCAGCAGGAGGAAAGGTCCTGGGCTCCCGACCCAGTGCTCAACGCCCCCCGCTAAGTACAGCACTCACTCCTTCATCCATCCAGCGCGGGCTCTCCCGGCACCAGCACCTCCAGGCCCTGTCCAGGACACCAGGGTCATCAGGGCATCAGGGAGGAAATGAGGCAGCCCAGGGAGGCGGGAGACGGGGCCCTCCCCAGCCCCCAACCGTCCCCACCACCAAGGTCGCCTGCAGAATATCACCGCCCCCATCCCCAGGCCCACCAGAACCAGCAGGGAGAGGGAGGCAGGTGAGCCCCCCAGCCCCGTGCCTGCTGTCGCAGGGACTCCCCAGACCCAGTGCTCCCTGGTGGCCCAGGTCCTCTCCTTCCTATGCCCTTGTGACCTGGGCCCGGGGACACAGGGCCCCTCCCCACTCCTGTCACAGCCAAGGCCTGAGCCCAGAGACCCAGGGATCCCACTGGGCGACACACTCCCCATGAACTCAGGACCAGGGGCCAGGCTGAGGATTTAGAAGGCATTCTGTGCATACCTCCCCCTGGGGCAGATGGGGAAACTGAGGCTGAGACTGGTCCATGTCACAGACACAAAACACAGACCCTCACCCCCAGGCTGGGCCTCCCCCCACAACTCTGCAAAGATTGAGAAGCCCCAGCCCCCAAGAGCTCAGCACCCCATCACCCCTGCCCTGGGTCTCCGCACCCCATCACCCCTGCCCTGGGTCTCAGCACCCCGTCACCCCTCTGCCCTTTTGTGAGGCCCTCCACACAGCCCTGACCTGGGTTTCTGTGGATCCCCACAGGGCCAGCCCCACGCCCCAACCTCCCGGCTGGACCATCTCCAAGGGACTGTCCGGAAACCCCCAAGGACGCTTCCCTTTTCTCTTGATGGCAGTCTCTGGGCACAGAGGGTGGGACTGCGGCTGTGGGTACCCGAGGACTGGAGCTCCACCCTAGGGGATGGAGGGCAGGGTCCCGGGGCCCAGCTAAGGGCTCCCCCTCCACTTCTTGGCCTTCAAGACTGGCCTGCACCTCCTCTGCTCTGTGCCAGTGTAGGCCAGGCAGGGGGCTGAGGCCGAGGCCTGGTCATTGCCCTCCTGGTCATGGTCCGGTGAAGGATTTAAGTCCAGAAGCCAAATGTCTACAATCATGTGGTGCGGGCACTCATGATGGACTGTCCAGGCCATGGGGGGCTCTGAGGGATGAAGAAGAGCCTGGGGGGGCGAGGCGGGCTGTGCTTCCCTGAGAAAGTGCCTGAGTTGAGCGCTGCTGCAGAGGGAAGCTGGGGTCCACTGCTGGTGAGTGGGGAGGGGACGGGACACAGAGCAGGCCGTGGCCCACCCCGAGAGGGAGGTACAGACACCAGGCCCGTTCTGTGCTCTGGAGGCTTTGGGCAGCTGTCAGGCTGGTTGAACGGTGTGCAGAGCAGATAGAAGCGTGAGGAGGAGGCTCTGGGGTCACTCAGGTGGGCGGCCCTCACGGGAGGCTGCCGGGGACGACAAGAGGGTGGAGCAGGTGCTGGTGCAGGAGGCCCGTGGAACCTGGAGGACTCTGTCCAGCTTTCAAGGCCAAGGGTGGGGGCAGTTCCAAGTCCTCGGGCCTGGGGACAGAAGGGAGAAGCCTTGGGGGCTGGGGGTG